CTACTGTTTAGGTACATAAGGACTCCTAAATCAATGTGTTATTTGGTATTCCTGCGGCCTATTATTTATATGAGCCTCTTCTGTTTCATTTAAGTGGATCAGATCCAAACAAAGGTGAACAAAGCTCTTTGTTGCCTACTGACTATTCTGAGACAAGAGACCTGAGTTTGGGATGTCATTCGCCAGCTGCGTCACCCTCTTCTTTTCCATTAACCCCCTCCTCCTGCGCTCTGTGTTTGGTTTAGGGGATATAAATCTCCTCGGCTGGCCTCCACAGAGTGATTTAGGAGACAGCGGGTTGTCTCCCTCGTGGAGCCGCTGAGTAAAGACCAGCAGCCAATAGTTAAATCAGAGAGAGGAACATAGGGGAAAATAAGAATCATAGATAAATTCAGGATAAAAGTGATAGCAGAAAGAGTGAAGTCAGTGGAAAGATCAAGGCTAAGGAGATAATCTAATCTTTCCTCCAGTGCTGATCCTGAAAATGTAGGTCATTCTCATTGTTGACAATCCGATAGGAAGGATTTCAAGTTTATCCAAGGGCTTTATTGAACACAGTTGACTGACTAATTAGACTTTGGAGTATTCTTTGTCAATAAGGAGCTCAAAAAGCAAGTTTCTCACATAGAGTTAACTAAGGCAGCGAGGTCTGACCAGTGTTTTTAAGTTTGTGAGAGTTAAATGGCACTTATTTCACAAGCTTTCTGGTCTTGAAGAGATCTTTTGCTGAGTAAGAATTGTGGTGCAGTGGGTTTAAAGTTGATGTTAGTTTTAGAAAGACTGGTCTTCTGAGGCTGGTTTTTGAGTCTTCAATGCTACCAAAGCAGAAATTGTGACCAAAGAAATGTAGATATATCGGACTTGAACAAAAGATACTTTGAACCCGAGACCTTCATGTGTCTTTTGAATTTCCTACTCGTAAGATGTAAATATTGGTCGGATTCATTCATCTTTTTAAAAGGACGGCTAAGTTATTTCCTAAAATACGTATTAGCAAATGTAAAAAGAACATTTATTTGGGACTATTTTCAGTGGCGGATTAATACAAAATGTGGTTGTGATGTGTAATATTTAAAGCAGTATATACTTTTTTTTAAACTACAGTGCACGTGTTCATCATAATGAAGTAATATGAAGTAAGCCACTGCAGCATTGTGGCTCATTGATGAGTTTGTAATAGTTTTTGGACCACAATGGATCGCTACGGCAAAGAACAAATTGCTAAATGAATTTTGAAGTGATTTGTTGACAAAAAGAGAAACACAGAATACCACCAGCCTTAATATTTAATGTTTGAATCAGTGATTTGTGGTTCAACTGTTTTAAAGTTTCTTTCCTTGTCCAGGTTAACTTTACCTGTCTGCCACTCACTGTAATTACCTGTTTAAACAATGGCTCAGTAATTAGTGTAAGTGCCACACAGGTCTGCTGGGACACAGATAGGAGTGCCTAAAAGGTGTTCAAACACAGAAGGGAAAAGGTTCAGAAAGGGAACAAGGGAGATAAAAAATGTCTTTCTTTAGCGTTCTTTGATAAATCAAAATGAGACCAAGAACCAATGAAAAGGGTTGAAATGGGCAATAAGTGAGGATGGACGTGTAAAAAGACTACAGTGCCTTCTGTTAATTCAATAAAGATTGTATTGTAAACACATAACAATAAGTACCTTCTGCAAGAGGAAAGGTATATACAGTATCTCTCCTCTCTCTCGATCTCGTCATTTTATATAATGCAGCAAGATTGAAAAATGACATTTCTCTGATTAAGGATGAGTCTTCTCAAGTGTTTTTCCCCAGTAAGATACATTAAATCAGATCACATTACACAGACAGAAAACAAATCCTTTTTTCCCCGCCGTTGTTTTGTTTAGCGGATGTTTTGTTTTGTGACCAGCAGGTCTAAGTCTGCTTTGTGGCAGACCATGTTGACCAGACAGACATTAAAAAATGCACAACTGGCAGCGAAGCTTCAACATTTTTCTTTCTCGGAACTCCCAAAGGAATTCAAGACATTTCAGGCGACGCAGTACCTTTCAGATTTTGGGTCAGATCAGTTCACTGGGATGATAAACACGGCCTTCACTCTCAATCATTTCTATATGTGTGGGTTACCAGATCCTCCCTCTGAGGAAAATCCTCCTTCATTACCCGGTTACATAAGAATTTCAAGTATTCACAGGCCGATTATATTGAACATTTTAGTCAATCTATTCTAGACAATATATAATCTTGTTTTTTTCCCTCAAGCTCTGTTTTTGTAATTTTTTACTTTTAAATCTAGGTTAGGTGAATCACTTTGAGTCCTCCGGACGGTGCTGATTGTTGTCATAATCATTGTCTATATAATCCATAATACTATATGTCAACAGTATTGCATGTAGATAAAATGGTTTCAAATACCATGCAGCATATTCAGACATATTGCCTTTCGTATTCTTAGCCTTCTTCATCCTTGTCAAAACCTTACCTTACATTACCCACAGTGCACTTTGTCCAGGTTTAGAGATTTAGATGTGTTTGGATCAGTTTAAAACATCCTGACAACTGAGGAGCAGGCCACTGAAGCCTTTTACCCTCAATTATTATTAACCAAGTCCCACCAGCTTTCTGTCACTTTAAAACTCAGTCTTTTGCCGCAAGTGACATCATTTGAGGCAATTTATTGGACTTCACACTTCCAATACGGACACAGTTCCCAGTGTACTGGGTTGGGTTTCCTGGTCTGTATTATGACCATTATGCTCATTCATCCTGATCCGGAAACACACTCTGCCATTGCTCTTGAAGAATTCTTCCTGAGTCCAACACTGAGAAAGTAGAAGCAGCATTCTGACGCCCAGAGGAAGGAGTGGCATTTGACAGGGTCAGAGGAGTAAGGTAACTTAAGGACAGAAGTGGTCAAAGGGTGTCTATTTAGAGGAGGTAGGGCAGTTTCAGGTGTTAAGGAGGGATTTGTGGTATTTTTGGAGAAGATGACAAGGAATGTTAGGAATGCCGCTCACGAGGTGGACCAGGAGGACGGGATCATGCAGGTCTGGAGGTCAGCTGATGGCTCTCACACCCAAAACTGATCAGAGGTCCTGATGGCTTTAAAAGGACAGAATTGACAGCACCGTGCTCCTCTATGTGGGAGAATTTAACCAATGATCATTTTATGTGTGTGAGAAGATGTGACAAAGGCTTCCAACATGCTTTATTGTTGTTGTCTGGCTTCAATTATGTTACTTGTTTTTTGTAAAGAATTAGGGCCCTGTTTAACAAAAGCTAGTACTGCTTACATACAGTAAGTTGCATCATCATGGTTCACAAATGAATCGCTGGCTGCAAGTTGCACACAGATGTAGTTCAACTAGACTCTGCAACTACAGTGTTTGTTTTGATTAGTAAAATGTGTCAAGATTTAAAGGCAGGGAAGTGATCTCATCTTGCAAATTACAGCTTGCATGTTACGATTTCTGTTTGCTTGGTTTGAGCACATGGAAGCAAGCAAACAGGCGTAAAGGGCGTGGTTGTATTATGTTTATGCAGTATATTTGCTATATGATTTCTAAGTGCATCTGCAACCAATTATGACCACAATATTATCCACACCACCTCATCAGATTGTTGGAAATAAAATGGAGGATCTGTCCAAAAAAAGGATTCACAAAACAGTCTCTGTACGAAAAATATTTCAGGGAATTTCCTTAATCATACTTGAAAATGTGTCTTAATCGTTTGGACTGAAATGGGAACATATTTCCACTTTACAAACTAATCTAAAGCGATAGTCTTTTTGTGTCTGTTTGCCAGACCACAGTCATATTCAACCTTTGTTACAACACCATGTAGGACAGCCTTTAGCTCTCACTTTCTTTTTCTCATCTTTTTTGTAAGAGCCTCCCAAGTGGTGTCATTTTTCAGGGCTTTCCTGGAGGAGTTTGTGCTGATGGGAGTGGAGCCTGAGTTGTCCATTAGTTAGATTAGCAGCTCTGTGGGGAGGCTCTGGTTCCCTCTCCCCTGGCCGGGACAGACAAAGCTCTGCTCTGCCTGCCATTGTACGGCTGTCAGTCGGATCTGGTCAATACCAGAAAAAACTCTTGTCAGGAACCAGATCCTCTGATAAGAAGCTGTGAGCCAGACTGTGTGTTAACAAGTAAATTACACACAGTCCATAACGGCAGCAAACTTTCATTTTTGCGGGTATATTAGATGAGTTTGTTGTAGGATTTCTGCGTGGGTTTTTTTCACAAAATAGTTACTTCAATTAGGGGACTTATCCCATGTCTGTCTCTTATCTTTCTGTCGTTTAATCATACCTTCTATTCAAATAGTTCAAGATGTGTATCATAGCGTCACCATCTAATAGCATCCTGGCAGGCTGAGTCAATGATCATTAAACATAATGGATCAGTTGGGAGAATGGAAAATATTTGGTCGTTGGCAATCTTTGAGAACCTTTATAGAGTGTATATGTATTGTGGTGAGTGTCAATTTGCTGCTGTTCAATATGATAGATTAGATTAAACTGTATTGTCATTTCAGAATACATTATAAGTAGAGTTATACAGATACTACATTCAAAGGTTTTATTGTCATATGCACTTAAGATACAGTGTAGAAAGGGCAATGAAAATCTTATGACCCGAGCTCCTCCAACGATGCAACATGTATAATAAAATACAAATGATAGGCCGTTTGTGATCCAACCATAAGTGCAAAAAGCATTACAGTTATTGTACAGAACAATGTCAATCAACATATTTGCCATTTTAATGCTGTAGTGAAGGCTTTGGTGCTTTTTAAGTCAAATATATTTTAAAAAATAGCCTTATTAACTTTATTGTAAAGAATAGATAAGTGGTACCAATCGTCACATGTTAAAAGATGAATACTTGTCTTTTCCATGATGTCAAACTATCCCTCCAGAGGAAAAACCTAATCACCCATGTGGCTTAAAGTATGTACACTAATGCAAACAAATTATGTTTTTATTAAAATTCTTCTCTTTGTCTTTTTCAGCCTCTGGTGAAAAATGGACAAATCTCCAGCATGACGAGTCTGAATGGTAACTCGGAGGACAACACCCTGGGAGAAGGTACGTTTTCTGCGTATGTCCCGTCAACAATGTTTATTTACAGTGTGTGACTTTGGGTTATGTTCTTGCGGTCGGTGGGATAAGAAGCGGCAATGTTTGTATTTGTTTGTGTCTGGGATTTTGTACTGTTTCTTCAGCAGTGGCCAAAGGTAAGCTTGTTTGGGTGGGGTCAGTTTTCCCTCTGCAGATGTCTTCGTGGCCCTGGGAGATTGACTTGATCCTTTAATAATCCTTTTGTCAACACATGGGGGACACCTTTTCTCATAGGAGCCACACACACTACAACACACCCAAATACTGTTCTCTATCCTGTGTATTCCTTTAACCATTCAAATGGAAAACGAATGGATGTAAATGTACACTCTCATGCATACCGCCATTTTATATCCTTTTTGTACTCAATGAAAATTCGGTTTGTTAGTGGTTTCAAAAAAATCACTTAACATTTGGCCAAAAATAATCTTCCACTACCTTTCAAATAGTTTTTAAAATACGTATTTTTTCTACTAAAAGCTAATGAACAAAAGAGTACGTTTTCTCACAGTTTACTGGCAATTTAAAGATGTTAGCATTTAGAGGGTCTCTGAAAGGCACAATGCACATTTTAAAGTCAGTAATATGAGATAATCCTTAACTAGTAATAACATGGGCCAAATGGATTTCTGCCACCTTAACATGTGCACCAACCTGCTCTGTCCATCTCCTGCAGCCCCTCCTCTCACCAGAGCTGTTTATTTTCTTTGCCATGTCTATCGTGTCTCCCTCAATCTGGGCGGGCTGCAGGGGCCTGTACTCCCACCCTAAATATTTAGCAGGCCGTGACCCGGGCCCCGCACAATGCAACCTGCGCACTTCACAATATGTTATGGCCCAGGGGAAAGGGTAACCCTATACTACTTAAAACACAGAGATATGTCACATACCACTCTGTCAAATAACCTATTTAATAAGTTATTTAATGAAGCGATTCTGTCCGTTTATAGAGTAACCCAATACCCTCTTCAGAGCAGAGATACAGAGTGTATCAGTTGATGTGGCAAGTAGAATAAAGGAGAGTATTTGGGTTTTGAAATGGTCTCTTTGGTCATGTACTGTAAGTTAATTAGTAACGTGGAAAGATGTAGGACAGAAAAGAGGGGAGCCACATATTTGCCATGTCTCCAATTCTTAGATCTTGTGCACTCATGCATACACAAATAGAAGCTGCAGACCATTGGCTTTGATGCACCCAAAGGTTAATACAATGGAAACCTTTTGAACACAAAAAGCAAAACATGTAACTTTTCGTTCACACACGCTTTTTCTGAGCTGATATTCTACAAGAGATCAGTCTTACTCGTGTGAAATGGTGTTGTTTATATTGAACCAAACAGTCAATCTATTCCTACCAAAATATGACCTTGTTTCTTCTGATATGGGTTACTGTTGCAGAACTGTGATGAGTTCATCCAATTATTAATTTCAGCCCAGATTGAATGATTAGAACGATAACCTTCCTGTGGCCCTCTATGCACTCATTGCGCGTTACCAACCTCTTTCACAAGCTGCGATGATACTTTTAGAGGATTGGCTTTGGAAGCAGGCCTGAAAGTACTGGTTTCAGTGTTGCAAATATACCACATTTCTCATTAGTGATACTTACCCATGACTCAGCAACAGGATGCTAATAAACCTGATACAACTCGGAACAGAGTGGAACCTGTAAATCTAACCTGACCTACCAGGGAACCAGCCAGCTGACTAATATTGTCCTCGGAGAAACTGTTTCTCTAACCAATCGGGACTAAAAAAAACGGGAGACAAACAACAGAAAACGTTGTGAAAGACTTTCAAGGCTACAGATTGAAGAAGAGCAGAGGGAGTGAAAGGATGGGAGTCACTATGTGGGAAAAGTGAAAAGATATAGGAGTGGAAGTTATGGAGGGGTTTCACATCCAATCACTTCTGTACCTCTTGTGAAGCCTGATAAAAACAGCAGTGCATTATGGGAGACAGGAAGAGAAGAGAACTCTCTCTGATAACAACGGAAAACAACATAAGACAGACGGCAGATCAAAATGCTGATGCATGAGCAACAACACACACCCATAAACACACGCACATAAACACACACATCTCTCTCTATCAGGTACACCAGAGTGTTTACAGTTTAGGGAGCAGCCCGATGAACCAACAAACACATCACACATCAATCTGGATAACATGACAACGGAAAGTGTTGTTTAATGTATTGTAGCGAATGAAGACAACATGAGGCAACAAAAACCCAATAACTCTTAGTTCAGTCAGACAACTCACGTGTTCCTTAATATGTTTATTATAAGCAGCATATAGTTTGAGTTTGGCGTCTAGGCTCGGGCCTCATCACTCCACAGATTTACAAAGAACATTGAGTGATGATTAGATAACTATCCCCCCGAGCCTACAGGTGGAAGCTGGGGTGGAGCTGGGGTGGTGGTGGGTCAGGCAAGCAGCAGCAGCAACATGAACGTAGCAATAGCAAGTGAACACAGCAGTGCAGCAGCAGCAGAGCAAGGCAGAGGCAGGAAGACCTGGCAGCTTAAATAGAGCGGCATGTTTAGGAGAATGTGTTTGGTTGGAGAGGGACGAGGTGCGTCACGTGTTAATGTATCATTGGTGCTCGAGTTGACTGCCTGAACTAGCTCGCAGGCTTCGCCCCATTTCTGTGATATTTTTTTATTTTTTGATATCTGGGAATTCAAAGGTACTGGAAAAACTCCAATAAAAAGGGAAGTAAATGAGTCTAATTTTATTTTTATTTTTATTTATTTATAGAAGGACCATGCATACAAAAACATTAATCTCAGCAAAGAGAAGAGATGCAATATGCCAGATTATAGCTAATAGCTCATTTCCATCTGTGGTCCTCATTTCCATCTGTGGCCCTCAATCCTCATTGAATGTTGAATTAACATTAAAAATGTATTTAAAATGGTATCAAAGTACAAGGATGGTGTGTGTGGTTGCATCATCCAGCATTCCCGTCAGTAGTGGACCTTTTTGTGAAAACAAACTCTTAATTTTCTGCCTGCCTGTTTTGAATAAAAACGACTTACAAACTGGCTAAGATACTGTTGAAAATCTTTCTTAAAGACATTTTCAACTGGCTTTGTTTACCAGCTGGGCTCAGAAAGCCCAGGCCGAATGACTGAGGTTTAGGAATGCTGAGTTTGCACCAAGTTTTCACACAAAAATGAATTGAATAAATATTACATGGCACTAGAGCTTTTTAGATAACGTTTTTTTCAATAGAGAAAAAGGGTAAGCAAAGAGCTAGAGCCAGGAGGGGTAAAAATAGTAAAAAGTAGATAGAAAGAGAGAAAGACAGTAACTCACATCCACGAATGATGCAGCAGTCTATTACGTCAGACTGTAACGAAGTGCATCATTCCTACTAATTGAGTCAAAATGAGACCTTAGCTCTCTCCGACTACAGCCAAAGATGTCTGTGTGTACAGCAGTAAATCATGTGTTTTTAAGGAAACCATGCTGTACCATTCACATATTAATCACATTAGTCACAGTAAGATGTGTTGTGTGTCCGTGTAGAGATGCATTCTCCGGCCTGCATGTGTGTTTGGGTTTCTAGTTTAAGGGGTGCTGGCGCACGGGGTGCGTTGGGAGCCCAAAGACTGACATCATGGCTGATGTAATTCACTGGCCGATGCGTTGACGGCCCCTCCCAGATGGTTTACAGGCTCCAAGAGAGGACTGAGGAAGTTTCTTGAAAGCTTGGAGGGAGAGAGAATGCTGACTGTGTTTACTGCAACTTGTGTTTATTTGTAGGAATGCCGGAAATCAAATCCTGCTTGTCTGTTTGTTTCATCTTACTCACGGGACCTGATGGTTGCTCTCCACTACATTTAATTAGTTCATTGAATCCATTCATTAAAGTTTGTGTACAAATTAATTTCAGATGGGTTAGGGTTAGGGTAACCCTAACCCTAACCCTAACCCTTTGAGTTGTTTGGCCAAAAGCAAAACAGAGAACATCTGTCACTCATTTTACTTGAACAATTAATTAAACACAGTTGATTTGACAGAAAACACATGCTTTTATGGATTTGTCCAAGTACTCCAGGGTGGGTTTTGCAATCTTTCTTTGTCACATTATTGAAAATGTCTTTAGGTTTTTCAGCTGTTTCTCGGAACAGAAAAACTGAGCAACTGGAAATCCCTTTATGTTATGGGAGCCTGTGATGGGCAGCTTTATGAATGTTATAGACTAAACAGTAAATGTTTTCATCGCAGACATATTAATCAATAATGAAAGCAAGGAGAAATTGCCATCCACTTGAATGTGTCATATTATACTACAAACTGCAGCAATCCAAGTGTGTCAAGAAGTCCGACTATTACCAGGGATATTATGAACTGTCAGGAATGATTCACCAGTCCCGGTCTCTGCTACAGTTTTATGTCTTTTTGGTTGCAGGTGTTAACTTTTACGAGGCGAACAAACTGCAGTCTCTGCTCACTGTAAGTGTGAGGGTGAGTGTGTGTGTGTGTGTGTGTGTGTGTGTGTGTGTGTATGGTTATGATTTAATTCCAGGGTGGACTCACTTAGACTCGGCTTGGGGGAAATCATAGTGGTGCCAGAACGTGCATCATGCCTGTGGAAGGGACCTCTCCCTTCACTTAAGCTCTGTCTGATCTCTGCCAATAAGGCTGTACAGTCATCTTAACACAATCCAGCCGCCAGATTGTTCCTGTTAGATTTCTGCCCGTGTTCCTTTTACATTCCAGCTGACAATACTCATTACATATTTTATTAAGATGTTCGTGTGCGTCTTTTTCTACTGTACTCACACAACTGGGAGGAATTCTTTTTTTCTTGGTTTGTATTTGCGCAGATGCTGATCCATCAACTGGCTGCAAGATGTCAGAATGATTTCTTCCCCTCAGAGAAAGGAAGTGACCCCAGAGGAAAGGGTTAGGGAGGCAGAGATTTTAGATTGGAGTGCCTAAAAGGCCCCCAC